TGTCTTTATTAGTCATATGATGGACTTCTCTAAGGTTTCTTCTGTTTTAATCACACTTTTCTCATGGTGACTCCATCACCTGGGTTAAAGCTGTACACTGGTTTGAGTAACCACCTTTAAGAGAAAGCATCTACAGAGTAGAAGTATCACATGCTTACTGCTAAACGTCTTTTAATGATAGAGCAAACAGCAGTATGTGTGAGAACTTCTAGAGTTGATCACTATTAGCCATCTGACTTTTTTCTGTGTACACACGCTTTCTAAAAACTATACTCTGCGGCTACTTTTTGATTGACTGCCGAAAACCCTTTTTTTGTACCACTGGTGCCATCCACACCAATATCATAAGAGTCATGAGTGCGAGGAAAGCATGTGTTAGCTCATTTTTCTGAGAAACCGCGCCACAACACGTGACCTTCTTTCAAACATACACCATGGCCTTAAAAAATTTCAAGGGGCTGCCTTGGGGGCTATGTGGCTCTAAGTTAGCTGCAACACTCAGTTGGGGTAAAGAGATGAGTGGATTAGTAATGACTGAGCACCAACCACCTCTGAAGTGACTGAGAGCCAACCCGCTCATACTGATATCGAGGTTTCATTATTACCAGCAGCTTGACCGTAAGGATTTATGTGCTTGAGCAAAATTTAAATAAAGCTTTGCCAGGAACATGTTGACATTTTCAAGATAAACAGTCAATCATAAGCCAGTTTTTTAAACAAGCGCCCACTACTTCCCAAAGTGTCACTGTGTGGGAAACTAAGCACTGCACAAGAGTGCCTGTAAATTAATAGGGGTTTAACTTTGGTCTAGTTAAAGGAAGTGCAAGGATGAGGAAACCTTTCTCCATCCCTTCGTTAAGGATGTGGTTTTTCTGGGGAAGCACTTATTGTTGCCTTGATGAGTGATGTTTACTTTTTTCTTACGCATGTTGTGCTGACAAGGGTGCACTTTTAAAAAAATATTTTTTTTTTAACCACAAAGCTACACTTTACTACACTTGAAAATTTTCTTGCATTGTTTGCCTACAAAGTATATTTTTGACATTCACTTAATTATTTGGACCTATTTTTAAATACATTATATTGCTATAAATGTGAAATGAATAGGCTTCAGTACCCAAGTTTGTCACTAGATGTCACTGAATCTTATACAAATTTCAATCTTGGGGAAGTTCATTAAATATGCAGAAACCAACAGAACAAAAATAAAAAGTAAATGTTTTAAAGCAGAAACTAAAGAACGAACAGTTTCCCATAACATGTTCACTCAAAGAAGCGATATGATCTGGTAAAAGGATAAAAATCTGAACAGATCAGATTGATTAACAACACAGGTGAGGAATGAGCTGCAAAAGATCAGGGTGCGAAAGGCTACGGGTCAAGATGGCATCAATTCCAGACTTCTGAGATGTTGTGCAGATGAACTGTGTGGCATCTTACGCTACAAGTTGAATTTAAGCCTGAGGCTGGGAGTAGTTCCACTGCTGTGGAAGACCCTAGTGTGGTACTGGTGCCAAAAACTAAACATCTGAAGGACCTCAGCAGCTATAGGCCAGTAGTGCTGACTTCACACCTGATGAAGACCCTCAAACGGTTGGTCTTACACCATCTACGCCCTCAGGTGAAGACTTCATTGGATCCACTGCAGTATTCCTACCGGCCTGGGATTAGGGCACAAGATGCCTCACAGATCATCTGCACAACATTCCGACTCAACTCGAGAAAAACCTGGAAGTACTGTGAGGATCATGTTTTTTTTTATTTTTGCTTTCAACACCATCTAGCCAGCACTCTTAGGGGACAGCTGTCAGAAGTGGACCAGCACATGTCCCAGTGGATTTTGGACTACGTCATTGTCCGCCCACACTATGTGAGGGCACAGGGCTGTGTCTCAAATAGGTTGGTCTGCAGTACTGCGGTCTCACAGGGAACAGTATTGGTACGTTCCTCTGCACCATCTACACTGCAGACCTCTCCATCAACTCCCAACGTTTCCACCTCCAAAAGTTCTCTGACGATTCTGCCATAGTTGGCCTCATCTGAGGTGCAGATGACTCAGAGTACAGACAGTGGACCCAGGACTTCGTGGTCTGGTCCCAGCAGAACCATCTTCTGATTAATGCAGGGAAAACCAAGGAGCTACTGGTGGACTTTTGCAGAATCAGATCCAGCCTACTGACACCGTGAACATCTATAGGGAATGGATATTGGGATAGTGGACTCTTATAAATACCTGGGTGTTCACCTGAACAATAAACTGGACTGGACCCACAACATTGAAGGGCCAGAGCAGACTCTTCCTGCTGAGGAGACTGAGGTCTATTGGAGTACAGGGGGTGCTCCTGGAGACTTTCTTTGACACTGTTGAGGCATCAGCCATCTTCTATGCAGCTGTCTGTTTGGGCAGTGACTTATCTGTTGCTGAGCGAAAGCGGCTGGATAAGCTCATTAGGAAGGCCAGTTTTGTGATTGGATGCCCCCTGGACTCCATGCAGGAAGTGGGAAAAAATAGGACCCTAACTAAAATAACATCTCTGTTGGATAATGTATCCATTCCCATGCATGAAGCTGTTGCTTAACTGGAAAACTCCTTCAGTGACAGACTTAATCACCCTAAATGCACCAGGGAGCGTTATCACAGATCCTCTTCCCAGCAGCTGTAAGACTTTCTAACTATAAATTTTCCCAACAACCTCAATAAGTTGTTACATTGATGCTGAATTTTGCACAGTTTCTGTCTTGGTAACATCCTGCTGTCATTTTGGCCATCTCTGGTATTTGTTGCTATTTTTTCACATATCCACTACTGTAGAAATGTCCACAGCTGTATATTGATTATTTGTTCTCCAGATGCACAGTATTTATATTGTAAAAACACTATACAGTACAGTATTTCTTTATTTTTTTTATTTTCTTAACTCTTTCACTTATTCCGTAATTTGTATAGACTTTTAAAGGTCCACATTTGTGTGACCACTTTTACTATAATCTTTTGTTGCTTTAACGCCATTATTTACACATTGTGGGACAATAAAGGGATTTTCTATTTTATTCTAGCAACTAACTGTATAAATTGATTTACAAAAGCTACAAAGACTCTTCGACTGCTGTGTGTTTATGCAGGAGCAACAGCTTAATCAATATCGCTATTTAGGCTATAGGAAAGACACAGAACATTTTAAAAAAAGTTCTTGGCTGATGCGAACATTTGTTTTTGCATAAAGTGAGAAAGCTACGATTCCAAGGAACCACCGTTTCCAGTGATGGGAAACTGCAGGATGTGATCTTACTGCAAGAAGTTCATGTGTAATTATACAGAGCACAGTTATATTGCAGGGTGTAGAGCATTAACCTCTCATTACAGAGATTGTTGGATGTGGAACAACTGACTGGTGCAAAGTTCAACGGCATAAATCAGGGAAAGGTTATGATTCATCTGTAACCTGTTCTTGGTTAAATTATTGTTTACTCCCTTTTCTTCCAGAGACACAAATAGAGAGAAAAAAAGAGAGAATATGCTTTTTTTTTATTGAGAAGGCAAGTGAGACACTTTGCCAATGCAACAAGACAATTCAAATTTAAATAAAATATAAATGTTATTATTTCAAGTGCATATTATCAAATTATCTTATTTTAAGAGTAAAAATACTAATTCCATTGGCAATTTATTTACCTGCTCAAATTAAGGGTAAATTCACTTAATTGTAGGAATTTGTACTTATTTGTACACTGTTTTGTGGTTGCTGTTATCTTTCGCTTTAATAAAACACAATAAACAGATTACACTGAATCTAAAGCAAAGTAGAATTTGTGCATCTCCAATCTTCCCCCATGCAGTGGGAGCTTGATTTCCATACAAGGAAGTTAAATCTGACATTTTCACTGGTGCAGGATTTGCATAACATCAGGAATGCAGCAGTTGCAGCCTTTGTTCTAGACTACGGTAGCTGTTGGCTTTTGCAGCACTGACTCCACCTGCAGGCCACTTGTAGTGAGAACCTCTGAAGACTGCAGTATATCATGCTTGAATTCACCCTCCTTTGTAGTCTTTCCCATTATTGCACTGGCCTTAAAATGCCCTCAACATAATTGTTCTGTTTTCATTATCTATTTAATCATTTAAAATCATACTCATATTTCTGAACTGTAGTTGGGGTTAATCAACGAAAACATAGACTCTGTCATAATCTTTGCACTAATGACTGGATTATTTGTTCATTCCTTCCACCTGCTTAGCTCCACCCAGTTTTCATCTGCCCTCAGCTGATCTTGCAAGAATCACTGCCAGTTTATGCGAGCCGAGAGTGAGAAGCACACCCGCCGACAGGGGGAGACAAAGGGTCAATTGTCCCAGGCCCAGGGCAGTGGTGGGCACAAAATTGACACTCTGACCATTAAAAATACAGGCAGAAGGAATTTTTCAGAAAATATTTATGATAATAATGTTAAATATAAAAGTATCTATCTATCTATCTATCTATCTATCTATCTATCTATCTATCTATCTATCTATCTATCTATCTATCTATCTATCTATCTATCTATGCCACATTCTGGGATATTTGTGGGTTAAACAGGCAGGATCTAATCTCATTTTCATTAGGACTCTTGACTGACATTAATAAGTTTCCATTTTATTTAATTTCCTTTGGGTATAATAAAATACATTTGGAGTTGAAATTACTTTAATTAAATTCAGTTTTATTTCAGATATGACTGATCACTAAAATCAGCAAAGTCACAGCGTTAAGAGAGAGAACCCCTTCGAGGACTTTCTAAACATTGTGGAAAATCAGTTTTCATCCATTCACGTTTCCAATCCATAATTTGCATTTATCTTAAAGCTGCTCAGAAACTGCTGCGTAACCAGCAGCGCCGCTCTACAGACAGATTATAGGATTGTTTTGCTGCCTGAATCAACTTTCTTGCCCAACTCTTGACTTCCAATTCCTTGAAACGCGCTGGTGACGCGGACATTTCCCGGTTAAACCCGCCTCCTCATCCTGAGCACAGATCTGCGCACCGAGCAGCAGCTCTGATTGCGCTCAGCATTCCGCAGCAAAACAACAACCAAGGCATTTATTTTTTAACGAAAACAAAGACCGATATGTGATGTATGGAATGGCAGCGTTGAGGAATCCATCAACCTGACCAATGTTACTCAGGTAAGTCAGTGTAAAACATTTCTACGCGTCTGTGGGAAACACAGATTCATATCTTGAAGGTGCAGTGGGCGTTTTGTGGTGCCTATTTAAACCGAAACTAGAGGGGGGAAAAATAATTTAATTGTTGCAGGTTGAGATATTGCCAACGGAGGTTTTATTTATGGCAGTTTATTCCAATGTCCTGATCTAAAAGTTGTTGTTGCTTTGATCATGTTTATGCCAGAGGGTCTAATGTTTGTGTTGCGCGACAGGGAAATGGAGGCGTCCAAAATGTGGCGCAGAAATGTGACAGTTCCTTTTCACATCTACAGGGGATTACAATCATACTTTGCAGTAGAAAACAACAGTGGGTTCACAGCATCATTATGTGCTTGTTTTTTTTCTTTCAATATTAGATAAAGGTTTATTTTGTCTGATAAGCAATAATAATAATAATAAAAACACCTCAGATTTAAACTTCTGTAATCCAATTTTTTATCAGTTATATATGGTCTGTATATTTCCTCCAATTATAGATTAAATAATCCAGAGCAAAAGCTTTAAATTGATTGAAAATTATAATTGAAATGTTGTTTCCGCCACAATAATGACCCTATAACCACATTTTTACTTAAATACTTTGTGATAATATGGCACACCGAATGACATCATTGTCAAAGAGTAACCTCACTGTCCAAAAAGTAGTTTTATTTATGTGCCCTTGTTATTTCCGGTCTTAAATGACAAAAATCTTGTTAGGTTCGTCTTCCTAGTGTGAGGCCCACCTATTTTCCAAATTTTTACCAGTTGCTTTAGGGCTATTTGAAAGGATTGCTGAGGATTTAGAATTTCTAAAGTGAATTAAGGTTGAGTAAGAGATCATTAACAGTAATCATGCTATTACAGCAGGTAACTATATAGCATCTGATGCTGTGTGTGTTTGGGGTTTGCTTAATTTTTTATTTATTTATTTATTTTTTGCCAAAAATGCCATGTTTTTTGCAAAGGAAATGGAAGTTGGAGCTCTCTGGGTGAAAGCAATAGCATTAAATGATTATGTAGAAGTTTGTATTATAGACATAATATACTGTTAAAGTAAATGTATATGTATTGATTTGACTTTATGCAATATTTAACACACTTTTACTTTGTCTTTATAAGTCGGTTGTTGTTTTGGGTGTTATTACTTTACATGTTCAGCTCCTAGTATCTATGACCATCTTGGCCTAGTTCTTAGTTTCAACCAATGAGAGCAAATTATACTGGGGTTACACTAGCTTAAGAGTCTCATGTTATCAAAACATAACCCCAAAAATTATAAACCATCCATTAATCAACCTGGCTGTTTTATATTAGTTTGTTTAGAGTACTTAACCTAACAGTTGAATATATTATTAATGTGTTAACTAATTCCTATACCTTAAATATTCAAAACAATACATAATTTAAGAAAGATAAAAGACCATAAAGCAAGTGTTTTATGCTTTTCTTTTTTAAATGACTGTCCTTTTCCCAGTTTCCATGTGCAGTTAGATTGTTGTATTGATAAATAGCTTGCTTAACCAGTTATGTTCAGAAATCTAACATTAACTTGCCAGAGGGCTGGCAGCCTGCATCAGAGTAGGGAGCGAGGGAATGTGCGTAGGAAGGAGGTGATTGAGGAGGGTTGAGATTGGGAAACCTTTACACACTTTGTAATCAAATACAGATAAAAATGCAACACAGATCAGAAGCAGTTTTGTGTCTAATACAGAACAAGGGGATAGAGACTCTTGATGTTTTTTTCCTCAGGAAACAAGTTTGTTTTTGCAATGACTTATCAATGTTAAGAAGGCATGCAAAATCATTTCAGAGGAATTCATATCAGTTACCTTTTGGATGATTCATTTAAAGTATAATGCTGGTTTGATTCACTGGTAATTTGTCTTCCAGTTGGTCTCAAATGGACTGAATCAAATCCACAGAATATGGACGGAATAGGAAATCAAGCAGGATGTATTGTCATGTTACTGCTCCTTTTGGTAAGAAGAACTCAACGTGGATGAAACACATGAAAAAAATGCACTTTTTTGGAAACTATTGTGTGCAAATAAATGCGTGTTATACATTCTTCATTTTAGCTAAGGAGCATCCCTGTGTTGACGATGCCACAGGAGAAAGATGAGTGTCCGCCCGGGGAATACAAAACAGATAAAGGAATATGTTGCAACAAATGCGCTCGTGGTACAGTCTGCATATAAAACATAACTCTTGATTATGCTAGCAAAAAAACTCTGCTGCATGAATAAATGTGTTTTTTTTTTCTTTCAGGTTTTAAGCTGGCAGATGAATGTCATTTTATAGGGCACAAAAGTAACTGTGTACCTTGTGATGCTGGTCAATTCTTAGACGAGATGAGCTTCTCCAAAAATTGCAGAAGTTGTAAACGCTGCAAAGGTAAAGAAACAGTTGATTTTTCAAAAAGTGTTTGCTGTATGGTATATAACTATGTTTCAATTGAGTCTTTTTAAAAATCATGTATTCTTTTCTACAGCAAAAAAACATGAACATCTGGTATCGGCATGTAAACCGGAAGCAGACACTATTTGTCAATGCGACGAAGGCTACTTTAAATATAGAATTGACACAGAGGCATACGACTGTCTCAGATGTCGTACATGTAAAACTGATGAGATACAAAAAAAGCCCTGTAAGTATTAACTTCTTATTTGGTTATAAACAACTCTTGCACCCAGTTGTCGTGCATCTGTTAACCCCTTCAAATAAAAACATGTGTTACACAGGTACACATGAAAATGACACCGTTTGTGAATGTAGGACGAACTTCTTCAGAGTGAAGAATACGTGTAAACCCTGCAGCAGGTTAGTCGCTTTATATAAGCACTCTTCATCTCCATCTTGCAGTTCATGAGATCTTTTTTTTTTTCTCTTCACAATATTAATTTGAGGAAGTATTTTGTAGAATTGAAACTTGCAATTCACATCCGCCTTTCTTCAACATTTCCATAAGATTGCAATACAGGAGACCTTATGACACGTTGAAACTTGCTCACTGGCATTTCCTCAGAGCCCTAGAAAATAGGTTATTATTAGTATACCATTTATGTCCTGCTAATAAAAACAGCTGAAATATTCAGAGTGAACACATTTTTTGGTTTCGAAGCGAGCAAAAAAATTCCAATATCTTAAACTCAAAAGAGTGATATTAAAAATGTAACAGTCTTTTGAAACAGGTTTTTAAGCTCTATAAAAAAAAAAGAATCAATGTAAAAATAGGTGATAATCATCTGTATTTATCTTTGTAACTTCAATTAATTCCAATGAAATATATCTACAGCATTTATCCCAACCTTTGGGGAGCATTTCTAGGGGTGAGGGTATTGCTCAGCGGCCTCTACCAGCAGTCTGTAAGATAAAAACTAATGAAGTTGCAACCTTATCAGGACCCAAAATCACTGGTCTAATCAATACGTTTAAACTAATTGTTTTAATGCTTCTTCTTAAAATATTTGATCAGGATAAATGGAACTTGATCATAGCCACAGATTGTTGCTTCATTGTATAAATCCATTTGTAGTTGCAGCTTTGAAGGTGTAAAAGTACATGCAGAGCTGAGGTTGTAAATGCAAGTCAGCCTTTATGTTAATCACTTCCTCTGAAGATGCGATACTTCCCCTTCAGTATTGTCAAACATCCTCTTTGTTTTTTCACAGTTGTACCCCGGAATGCACACAACTCTGTTCAACTACTGGTGCGACAAAAGGTGAGCGCTAACAAGGCCAGTTCCTTCTTCACCTACAACAGTCATTCACATGAGTAATACTGCTCCCAAACTTCACACGCAAAGTCAAACTTTCTTCTCTTTTTTCTTTTGACTTCTGAGCTACCATGAAATTTAAAGTTGGAAAAGAAAAAAAAAATCCCTAAAGGTTCTCTTAAAAAAAAAAAAAGGATATCCTTACCTCTGAGTCCTTCATTTGAACAAAGACTGCATTCTCAGAAGAGGGAGTTGTGACAGTGGACATTTTGGTCTTGGCGGCAGTTCTTCTTTTCTGTAGTTTCAGTCGGCAACACCAAACCTGTGACAAACATCACTGATAGCGTTGTACAATAGAAGGCATTGACATCAATTGACCTTTTCACAATTTCGCCCATGACAACCACAAACTTTACAGTGTGTGTTGGAATTTTATGTGATATCGCAACACAAAATAGCACATTATTGTTTACTTCTGTTTTTGTTATTTATTGTTGTTTGGTATAAATTGAAAAAAAAAATTGTATGTGTCCCCATCACTCGAATACATCTACTTGCAAGTAATTGCCTTCAAAACCAGTCAAATTAGAGGTTTATTAAAGTATAGCTTTATTTTAGCTTAAAAGAAGCTTTTCTCTACAGGATGTTTGAGAACATTAGAGAACAAATGGCATCATGAAAGGCAACAGAGCTGACAAGTCAGCGAGAAGTTTATAGCAGAGACAGTTTGTAAAACAGTAATGTTTTAGGCATTACTTCAAAATTGTTATGGGATATGGAAAGAGAGGCAAGTTAGAAACGTCCAGCTGAACTGACGATTCAATAAAACTATTGATGTGAGAGACAGCTAATGCTAACTCTAGAGGACCTTCATAGATTCAAATTTCAGGTGGGGTAATCTGTCTACTAAAACAGTCAACAGTTTGTATGAATTAAAAACACAAAACATGCTTTTCAGGTCAAATTAAGATAAAAAACAACAACTTTTCAATCCCAAATGGAAAACAAATATTGTTATAACTCATAGGGATTGCTTCAAATTGTTGTAATAGATGTTGATGACTGTAGGGAGAAATAATCTCCTGTAGTTGTCTGTCTTACAGTGGCTCTGGAGATGAGTCTGTCTGGAGACCCTCTGGTGTTCCACAACACTGTGAGGAAGTGGATGATATTGAGAGAGAGACAGAGAGAGTGTCATAACCCGATCCGTCCCGAAAGCACGATCCGTTCTGCGCATGGGCTATCAGCTCATTTGCGCAAACAGATATACATCCGGGTCGAACTCGATTTTATTTTGTTAAAAATACCTAAATGACGTTTACCCTCCCCAATGATATTAAACGTACTAAAATATAAAGTGTTAAAGGTTTATAATGTATTTCCTGACAAAAAAAAAAGATGCATTAAAAGCCTTTCTGTTTTATCACTCGTCTCTTCCTGACCTGCACCGGAAATGGGATCCTACGCAACTTCCGGTGGCTAACTTTTGCGGCTTTGGATTTAAACATAAAGCTAGTCATTTTGAGTTTTATGTTCTCGTTTCGTTTTAATCTTATGCTATACAGTACGTATTCTAAAGAAAGAAGCAACGAAAATGCAGATAAACATGGTTTAATCATATTTTGCTTGACTGCTCTGAGCATGTCTGATGATGACCTCAGAGAAGCAGTTTAATGAAGAAAATTTAAAACGCACAAAGTCATAAAAAAAAATTTTTTTTACAGATGTGAATTAGTATTCTTTAGTGAGTTAAGGATATAAATAAGTAGTTTTCGTACCATAATTACATTATTTATGGACACCCGGATATATATCTATTCCTGCATGCACAGAACGGATCGTGCTTCCGGGATCGGGTAGTGACAGAGAGAAGGAAAAAAAGGTTTTGATTTGAAAAACTCCTTTTTTTTCCCAATGAACATTCATTGTGTTAAATATTAGCTATCCATCAACCAGAAAAAAACAATATTGTTAACTGAGAAAAAAATGTCAGATTATTCATCATTGAAAGAAATAGAAACTCAGCTCTTACTCTATTTTTAACCATCAACATAAACAGTTTGTCAACCTTTTCCTTTGCAAAATTGCTCATCCTCTTCCTTCTGCTAATGTAAATGAAAATATTAGCTTGACTTACTAAAAATGTAACACTTTCCACTTAATCTGATGAAGGTTCTCAGTCATCCAGGTCATAGTCATTCCGTAAAAATTAAAAAAATATCCACTGGACTTGGTTTCCAAGATTTGAAGACGTTTCGCCACCTCTCCAGGAAGCTTTCTCAATTCAAATGTCTGGATCCGCAGTGAGTTGGAGTCTTATATAGACAAAGGCTTGTATCGCTTGGAAACATGCAAATGGAGAAGGGAGTGAAGGAAGCCATCTATGTGAAGAGAGAAAAAACAACTTTAAACAGAGCTGGTGGACTCAGATTCCAGCTTCCAAAAACATACAATTAAATCATAGACATGATCCCTTCCAGATCCATGGAACCAAACGACCCATTCATCGGTTAGCATTTGCATGTTTCCAAGCGATACAAGGCTTTGTCTATATAAGACTCAAACTCACTGCAGAGCCAGACATTTGAATTGAGAAAGCTTCCTGGAGAGGTGGCGAAATGTCTTCAAATCTTGGAAACCAAGTCCAGTGGATATTTTTTGAATTTTTACGGAATGACTTTCCACTTAAGTGTCTTATTTGGTTTAGCAAGCACAAAAAGCATGCTTTAGATCTAACAACACCACATTTAAAAAAAATGTTTTTAAACACAATAAAAATTGAACAAGTTGTTCACAGTTCTTAACAAAAGTGACAAAGTTATGTTGCATTTTTTCTTAATTCTTAGACACAATACTATTGACACTCACTGCCTCATGTTAGATCCACCATTGTAGATCTCATTCCCTCTTAGAGGATGTTTGTAGAAGACCCTCCACATAGACTTCTGATTCTCTTCAGCATTAAACCTATCGCTCCAAACTGTATTAGTCCTCCCACTCAACAGTCTTTTATTTAGACCATGAACAGACATTTACACAGTAATTTTCCTATCAGCATACAAAAAACTAAGTCTTTCTTGGTATGCAATAAAGGTAAAATCTATATTCAAACCCATTTCTGGAAACAGATCTGTAGCATCAGGAAATTCTTTTCAATTAAAATAAACTTTTTAACTAGAAATCTAAGACAGTCCTCGTGATTAGATTTGATTTCAGCCAAATTAAAGAAGTGGTTGCTTCTGTGTTTTGAAGTGTTGGTCCAGCCACTTCAACAATTTGTATCATTTTCAGAATTCTTTCATCAAGCAATCTTCTTGATAAACCAACTCCAGCTCCATCCTGTATATCTGACTGTGCTCCAAAAATTCAAGGTTCTTCAAAAACAAAGATGTCACTTTCAGTCTTTTGCATTTTTATATTCATTAAAATTAGATTAATTACCTCATTTCACACAGCCGCTGCAAACAGAAATGGAGTTCAATCCAACGACAGGCGACCAGAAGATCAGGATTTTACCACGCTATGGTCTTTACCACGCTGGTGCTCATGGGAAATGTTTTCTCCCTTCAGGCAAAACTATTCCACTTTTTTTCCACTGGGGGAGCCAAAATAGACCAAAACTGAAAGTTCTTTAGAGCGTCTTAAACTTCATATTGCCCAGGCCTGTTGAGAAATATTTTAGTCTTTTTAGATGTACCAAACTGGTGAATATCAGTCTCAAAATCAAATAAAATGTATTTGTATAGCCTTTTACAATAGCCAAATGGTACCTAAAGTGCTTTACAACGAAGCCATAAAACAATACATAACACATGTAAAACATACAAGATACAATTAAAAGTGCTGTAGTGGTGCAGGACATTAAAAGCCTTCCAGAGGTGCATAGAAAGGAGCACACAGAAAGATAAAAAAAAAACTAAACAACAAAGTATTGACTTGGGGGGCTTTGATATAGGGCGGACCTTAACCTTTAAGGTTTTTATACAATAAAAATATATATGTATATTTTATATTCACTTTACACGTTTGCAATAGGCTACCTTGCGTTGGTCCACATAAAATACGAATAAAACACTTTGGAGTGCCATAATTTATCAAAGTATTATTACATCTTGAAGGCGCTGTGTGTATGCAGCATCATTGTAAAAGGATTTTTAAACTAAGTATACTTGGATAGGGAATCCAGTTGCCTTCAGCAGGATTGTGATGAATGGAAGGAATTCAGCAACACAGTTACATCAAATATAGATGTGTCGTTCTTTTAATAACTAATCTCTGGTTCCCTTTTCAGCTCCTCATCCTTATCCTGATCTTACCGGTATAATTATTGGAACTGTGGTCATGGTGGTGGTCTTGCTGATATTGGGAATTATCATCACCCACATGGCTACAAAACGGTTTGTCAAGAAAAAGATGCGGAGTCAGTCACTGTGTCTATCTGAAGAATCAAAGGAACAAAGCAAGGTATTCTAAGCATACTGTGAGTGGCTGATTTGATCATTTTTATTTGCATGAATTGTTAGTCATTCTTATTTTTTGTGTCTGCTAGGATTTCCTGATCAATGCCAAAAGTCATCCGGAGGAAATGAGTGTGAAAACTGTCGTTGAAAACTCTTTGGGTGAGCAGGAGTTATGCAAGCTGCCTGACTGTGTCCCGATGAGTAAGTCTATGACAGTATCTGCTGGCTTTAACATTTATAATGCAGAAAATAAACAGCTGCTGAGACCTCTCCTCTTCTCCATTCTGCAGTCCCTGACCTTATCTACACTGTGCTGGATCTGGTTCCTGTGCACCAGGTAAAGCAGCTGGTTCGCTCTCTCGGTGTAACCGATATGGAAATTGAGCAAGCAGAGATGGATCACAGGTTCTGCCGTGAGGCTCACTACCAGATGCTACGGGTGTGGGCCCAGGGGGGCTCGCGGACAATTGCCGGAGTAAAGGGTGAAACTGTTCACCAATCGCTATTAGATGAGCTCTTAGACAAACTGAGACAGATTCACCTCAACCGGGCAGCCGAGGAACTGGAGGCAAAGTATACCATTCAGTGATATAAACTGTGCCAACCTGCGGTTATAAAAACAACACCTATGAGACCAAGTATTGTTCGATAAGAGACCCTGCAAAGGATGCTTTGAAACGGAGATGGTGCTAATTCACAGCAGTAGTTTTATTTCACAGAGACAAAGAGCACAATCTATGATCTTCAAAACCCTTCACTGTGACCAACAAAGAAATGCTTGCTGCAAATCAAAGACTGCAACAAACTGGGACAAATTCGTTCAGCTTCATCAAGAAGTATTTTTGCTGTAGATGTTCTATTGTTTGAGATTTAATTTCGATGGGAAGTTTGACATATGTTTAGTTCACCAACTATGAGGATATAATTGACCAATAATAGCACAAGGCTAAGAAACAACGGCAAACAGCGGGTCTCTCTCAATAAAAACTAATGTTGCTTTCCATTTATCCGAGAAATCAGAAATATTGAGAAGCCCCAGTGTTTAGACAATTTATCTAGTTTTTCTGCAGATTGGTCTGAATTGGAACTCAAAGTCTTTAATTTCATACTTTGATTGAATCAGGAAATAACCGATTTGTGTTTTTTTCCCCCTTTTAGTAGCAGCAGGATAATATGGTTATCTTTTTACTAACCGACTTACTTTTGCATCTTTGGAGTTAAATCAGGCACATTTACTATAATTTTAATTGCAACGAAAGCAAAACATTGTAGTTAGGAAACTGCAAGCATTTCCACGATAACAAACCTTTATGTGTGATAACATTCGTTATAAAGATCTAAATGTTTACCTGGTATCATTTAGCATCAGAAGAGTTGACAGAGAAGATTGTTGAGTTTCAAAAACTTCAATGACGCTATGTTGCAGTTTTTCTTTAATTGTTAGTATTTTCATTATGTAATAGTTTAAATTGATTTAATAGGTTTGTTATTCAATGTTGCACATTTCAAGTTTTTTATTGAATAATATTGTTATTTTACACAGGCTGCAAAATAACAGGACGTTATGCTGTGTTTAAACAAAGGTTTGGGTTGCAACAACTCCCTATAAATGTACAAAAGTTCTGCATTTAGATTTTATTTTGAGATGCACCAATCACGCTTTAAGTGGCGGTTGGTTCTGATTCAGTGGTTCGCCCCATTTAAGTGATTTAAAGCTGTTGGTTGATGCATCTACATACTGAAGGGGGGTTCTTTTCTTTATTTTTCTTTTGCAGAGAAAATACTTTGTGATCAAACCTTTTGTTAAATACTTTATCTGAAGTTAAAGTTTAAACAGCTTTTCTAATATCAAAGGGACAAAATTAAGTCATTTCTTAGTGAGAATATTAATAGATTTTTCACTTTAGTATTGATCTTTTGATGAGAGTTTTGTATTAGAGACATTTTATATTTTCAGATAAGACTTTGTACTATATTGCATTTTCACATAGCTTTATTTTTTGTAATGAGGACCTTAATGGATTTTCATTCCTGTGTCATTTAACTGTAGTCACCTAAGCTATTTGTATTAGTTTGTAGATGTTTTTACTATTTTGTAACATGTAGAGTGTTTTTTTCCCCCTTTTTTAAGAGTTAAATGTCAAATAAAAAAGAGGAGTGGTTTACCAACATAATACATCAAAGCTGGTAATATTTTCGTAGCAGTTCCCTGTTATGCTGGAGAAGGGAAAAAAGTCAGATCTACTTTATTGTGAACAATGAAGCCGGGGAAGTGTTTTGTTCCTCCTCAACATACAGTATACCACACTCTGTTGTGTTTTACAGTCTCTGCAGTGCCTCGGCAGCATTCTTTTAATCCCCAATCATACAAGCATTATTCATGACACACCTTGTCTCAAATCTTATTCAGCTTTTATTTTACTGCCAATCATGTAAGGATCTTGGGACTGAAGAAGTGCAACTCTAAAAACTTTTTATTTTCCATTCTGCTTGACACTGTGTTTAACTGTTGTTTTTAATAAAAAGGTGTAATTTTTTTCTGCGTGTCTGAGATGTGTTTTAAACTTTTCAGAGAGTATGTTTGGTGCTTGGAGGGGGGGAGAAAATATTTGAGGATGTAATTGTGGATTTGACTGCAGGCACGCTGCAAGTCTGCATTCCAACATGAGGTCTTCAACACTCAATCGCATATTTTTCCACTATCGATTTAACCAAAAATATTCTTGTCCTCCACTCCAGGAACTGGCTTTTTATTGCAGCTAGGACATAAAACATGAGAAAATGTTATCTTTCTCCCCTTTAAAATGATTTGAGTGGGAATAAGCATGTTGGATATGAAAAACCATTGATTATTTTCAAAGAAATTAGTCCCCACCTCTGCTCCACTAAGCACTTTTTAACTGCGACACATTAACCAAACCTCAGCACTGATTTGTTGGCTCTAAAGAAATCCAGTTGTTCTGGTCTGACCACTTGTTGAGGCCGGTGTTCAGGTAAAAGGAAGAGAGGGAGGGACTGATCAGGCCAGAGAGGAAGGAGAGGAGGAGAAAGCCAACAGAAACCAAAGATGACTGCGTGAAGCAAAATGGATCCAACCAAGCCCAGGTAAAATCTGAATTATTTCTCATCTATTTGTTGTAAAAACCGATTAAATAGAGTCGTTGTATGATTTATTTCCTATGTACTGATACGCATTCGTGGAGCTCTCGTCTAGACTCACAGATGACTCTTCAGTATTTGATGTTTTGCTTTACAGGGTTTGTTTTTTTAAGTTCAAGAGACTTAAAATTAATGAAGCATAGTTGATCAGTTTAAAAAACATTACAGGTCAGATATGAAAATATTTTTCAAAATTCAAAAGCTTTCACAGTGTTTTCTCCAGACACCGGGCTACACCTGTAAACAGGTAACACACAGTGATGGAGGAACTTACGTCAGTCAATAGAAGTTTGACAGCAAGGCAGGAGCTAATTATTGCAGTGTACGTGTCTCTATTATGTCCTCCTTAAAGAATCTTTGCTCGCACCATAAAAATTCAAACAGAAGCATAAGTACTTCTTAATCTTTTTTGTTTTAAAAAGTGTTGTTAACCACTTTTGTTAGGCAGCTGTGCTGAGCTGTCATGGTGTTATTAGTATAGTAGATTGTTTGATGGGATCCAGTGGTTTAGGAATAAGAGAAAAATCCACACATTAAATCAAAGCTCCTAAATTATAACCTGGGAGACAATTTCTGGTTTCACCGGCACATCTATGTAATTAGATCTTGAGCTTTGTAAAAAAATACTGGTGTTCGAATTTAAAGGTATCTGCAAAATCAGATAAAATATTCTGTTGATGTTTTAATTATTTGATTAAAAAGGAGATTTACATGGTTGGAGAGACCAACATGCAGGTTGTTATTTCCTCTCTTTCCAGGACAGATTGCTATCTCTGTGCCCTACTTCTGTTTTCCTGTTCAAGTATTATTATTTGGCTCATTTTGCATTTACTTCTCCCTATAGACATTAGATTTGTATTTCTTCAAACTGTTATGCTATATGTTGTAGTTTTGTATTGTTTTAATTTTTCTCAGATAATATTGTACATTCTCAGAACCTATTCAGCATCTGTTTAGTCATCACCCAAGCTGTTGTTTTTTTTACATTAACAAGTCTCATTTAACTAGATGCACTCACAAATTCTCACAAATGCATGCAGTGTTGCTTAGATCTGAGCATCTCACCTGAGAAATCACAACCTAGTGCTTTCCAGACATCTACTTATAGCCCCACCTACCCTCCCTTACAGACGTTTTTCCTCCAGCTGTTTAACAATTGTAGCCTATTAACCCTATTAATAAACACACAGTGATGTCTCAGCATTTAGGGTAAATAAACCAGGGTTTGGTAAAATGTCTAATTAGTGCCGTTTATATTAAACTCCTATATTAAAAGTAACCAGGTATTCACTGACTTGAGACATAACACAACTTCTTGTACACGATTGTCAAAGTTTACTAGGTGTTAATTTTTCCTATTCCTATGCTTTGAATAGGGCCATTGCTAATGAAATAGCAAAGCTGTGTTATTGTCACCTGCCAAAATCAATCTTTTAAAGGTCAATACTCGGAGTGGGTTGAAAAAATGGGTAATAAACATTGGATGCTCTTTTAGGCACACAGAATACCTTTTTGCCACTTTCAAAACATGGATAGATGCCCACACAAACTTATTTGGGTTTTTGAGCTCTTAAATGTTTTACATTGAACCAAGATAAGCCTACTGTACTGCCAGATAACCACACCAAGCAGCAGGCCCCTTCAAGATTTCTTTAGGAATTATCTAGTTTAATTTGCCATTTAGTGACAGGTGATGATCACACATGGCTTTAACGTGCAAGAAAATCAAGTTTAATATAATGTCATCCCTCTGCAAATATTAAAGTGTTTAAGTGTGCAGTCTAGGGCAATGATAATATCATATAGTTCCTATTTTGCTGGAGTACAAGTGACAGAAGACAGCAGAGGGCAGACTTTTCTTTAACAAAAACTTTCCAGAAGGTCACTCATGGTGTTCTTTGGTACTCAGCTGCTTTTTTGATATCTTTCTATTATATATAGATATAATATACAGATATTTTATGTGACAGACTATCAAGGGACTATTTTTATAGTTCGGTTTGAGCAGCCTGTCACAAAGATGTATATCTTGGGTTGCATCAATGAAAAATTGAAATATAACAATGGATTAAAAATGATATTATCTCACTAATGAGATGATTCCAAAGCAGCTATGAACCAAAAACTTGGGATAAAACACATTTTTATTTTAAAATGAAGCATCTATCTGGTCCTTTGTGAAATAACAGTTGGATTTCTTCTTTTAATTAGTGTACATCTTTCATTTATAGTTTTTTTTTCTTTTATCTATACATTTCTTTTTGAAAAACTGAACTATGAAACTCAACAAATCAAACAACAAACAGATTGAAACCCTTGCAGCCAGACTTTAAAGAAAAAACTTGGAAAGACCGTCTGAAATATTAGAGAAAGTTGACAAAGACACCAATAAAATATTTAAGACTCATTACTTATCTTTTATGACTTTTTAATGCAACCATCTGTTTTCAGTTGCTCTAAAAATCTTAAGCCACCAGACTTGGGAGGAGAACTGGAAGTAGACATATCAGAATTGTAACAATGTCATTTTTTCATTCTCTGGATAAATACAAAAAGTTTCATCAGTGGCTTTACACCACATTCTGTCAATAAGTTACCGTGTGTGTCTGTCCTCAGCCTGTCCCCGAAAATGCCTTATGTAAACAACGAAGGACTTGAATCAGTAATGAAAGAGATGCTTCAGAGACAAAACAGCTTGAATGGAGAGAAACCAAAGGATGCAGAAAGCAGAGAGACAGATTTTGTTGATGGACTGACAACAACTTTAGAGATATCCCGCCGCAGGGGGTCTGCAGACAAAAACAAGTACAGCACGATTGGCTACCAGGCAAGTAGAACATTTCAATAACAGCTGTTTACCCTCATATCTGTCACTTTTCTGTCTAGTTTTAAGGAATATGTGTATGTCTCTTTATTTTGCATATCTTACTAAAAATTTTAAAATATGTGACTGTTGAATTTAAAAAGAAATTTTTATTTAATATTTTTTCCATTGTTGTTGTTTTCTTCTGAGCTATATGTTAAAACTTTTCAGAAAACATATTATTTAAACCAAACTATTAAAATTCTCTTATATAAACTTTTAAATTTGGCTTTATTATATAATAAATATTTAGCCTGCACAATTAAACAGTACACTGATTTTAATCAAAAAGTAAATAAAAATATTGGAGCTCTGTTAAGACCTGAAATGTTTGTTAGAGAGCATGAGTGTAGATAAAGTAGAGATAAAATCGTGAAGACATTTTAAACAATTTAGGTTATAAAAGGATATCCCAAGCTGGAGAATCTACTAAACAACTCTGGCCTTTTCAAATTAAAAGATTGTGTCACATCTATAACCCCATCTGATGGGCCAAACAATTAAACCGTTAATGAGTAAAGCTAGTAAGGAGCCCATTATAAATGTAGAGGAGCTGCAGAGATTTACGGTTCATGTAGGAGATCTATAGTAGCACAGTTTAAAAAAAAATTTACCTTAATTGGATATAAGGAATAAAAAAGCCATTAGTAAAACAAAAAAAAACAAAAAAATGAATAAGTACTGAAGATGCCTGGTGCCTGGTCAGAATAAGTACTGATGATGCCAGGCAGAGGTTGCCCTTTAAGCTGAGCAAGAACCCCCAAGATATAGCCAGAGCAAGGAAGTTTAGATCCAAGAGTATTCGTGTGTTAGAATGGTCTAGTCAAAGTTCAGATTCAAAATTAAATGAGAATCTATGGCAAGACCTGAGAGTTTTCAAAAGAGGAGTAAGCAGAAATGTTGGTGCCTTCAGGCATAACACTGGAGATCATAAAAAGATCTGCAACTGGAGCCAAATGTGAATGACTATTTTGAATTGAATCAAGGGGGAAAAATGCATACCACAGTTTTAAATTATTTTGTGTAAAATGTATCTTATTTAGAGTTATACACTTTACGTTGCTCTGTCATGTAAAAATCTAATAAGAGACACTGATGCGACAATATAAAAAGTATAAAAGGTGCTTTTTGCAAGGTTGTTTCTTTCATTTTTGTTGATATAATCTTTGAAAAATAAAGCTTTGATCTTCTGCTTTTAACTGACTAAATTGTACTATTATTTTTCTTTTTCTTAGAGGAAACCCAGGCAAAAGGTTGTGACTGACTTTGCAACTCTGAGTAAAGGATCATCTTCGGGATCCAAATCCAGAACGCCGCTTAAGCAGGTGTTTAGTGTGGTCAACCAGGGAGTGTCTGAGAAAACGTCTGAGGTATTGTTTTGTCTCTTGTTCATCAGGTTGCATTCTCACAAACCATGAGGCAGATACAGACCTGCTCCAACCATGTCCGCCCACATAAACACTTTAATCAGTGCAGCGTTACTTGTTCTGCTCTACTGGCTG